ATTAAAGTTACTGTTAGTTATTAGGTCGAACTAAGTAAAATTAACTACCAACGACAAACTACTTCTTTACTTTCTTGTAATAATAGTATTATATATATATATATATATATATATATATACGAGAAAATCATGTTTTTATCATCTTTGAATTGTCAATACTTGTTCTTCGATCTTCGCTAAAACGACAGAAAACACTGGTTTAGATATGGTTAGGAACGTTTCCTTCTTGATACCCCACATATTAATCTTCTATAACCACACTAGATGATCCATACTGAAAGTGTACACTGGCTGTTAGATATGGTTAGGAACGTTTCCATGTTGATACTCCACATATTAATCTCCTAAGACAACACTAGATGATCCATATTAACAGAACAGCGTACACTGGTTGTTAGATATGGTTAGGAACGTTTCCTTCTTGATACCCCACATATTAATCTCCTAAGACAACACTAGATGGTCCATATTAACAGAACAGCGTACACTGGTTGTTAGATATGGTTAGGAACGTTTCCTTCTTGATACCCCACATATTAATCTTCTAAAACAACACTAGATGGTCCATATTAACAGAACAGCGTACACTGGTTGTTAGATATGGTTAGGAACGTTTCCATGTTGATACCCCACATATTAATTTTCTATAACCACACTAGATGATCCATACTGAAAGTGTACACTGGCTGTTAGATATGGTTAAGAACGTTTCCTTCTTAATACCCCACATATTAATCTTCTATAACTACAATAGATGGTCCATATTAATAGGACAGCGTACACTGATTGTTAGATATGGTTAAGAACGTTTCCTTCTTGATACCCCACATATTAATCTTCTATAACTACAATAGATGGTCCATATTAATAGGACAGTGTACATTGGTTGTTGTGAGAGAAGGTCAATTTCGTTTATTTCTTTACATTCGAGATTCTAAACCTTAATATTTAACATATACATCACGATATTTTACAGTTACCATAGTTTTAAGACAGTTTGTAGTACCTGATCGTACTAAAGTTACCTACTGAATGATATTCCATTAAATCCACTAATACTCGACAGCTGGGTATTATTTCCTTAAGCATTGTACACCATTCGATTTAGGTTAAACAGTTGATATAGCCATGAAACAGTTCTTGACGCTAAGCCTACGAACTGTACGGGAAGATCTGCTTTAATCTTATTGTCTTTCAAATCCAGCTAATGTACTAAGAACTTTCACAAAATTCCCCCTTCACCAGTCTAATCGCTCGGACACTGACAGACGTCAAACTAGGTCACAGACTAGCCAAAAGCTCGCACACGTGTTTACTCTACAATCAGTAACCGTTATTTCCATGAGTGAAAGTAAAGGAGAATATGTTATAACATGTCAACCACATTATATCTGCCAACGAGGCCTTTCGATTAATACCAAAGCTCATCAGGCAAGCTGGGATACGAAAAACACAGTAGTGTGGTTGACATATATATATATATATATATGTTCAATTTTCACGAACAACAACTGTTAGGATTAGAATCATGTTGTACAATATAACCGTAATTATTATCAATTTTATTTAAGTCAGGTTGGTTTGTTGTTGTTTTTTTTTTCTCGTTTTCTCTGGCAACTTTCTCCTGTTAAGTCCAACAACTAAGCATCTTATAATTATAATATATATCTACGTTCTTAAAATGAAAAATTTGGCTCTGAATCCTTTAAAATGAACTTAAGCATTATATATGTATATATATAAATTAACACCGAAATCACATTTTTTTATCATCTAAGTACATAAAGAGGTATTTTTAATTATTATCGAAACGTATTTTATCAAAGGTGGTTTGGATATTAAGTATCTATGAGCGTATCTATTTACATTATATGTATTACTACTGCTATATGCTGTAACCGTGGCAACGCCAGCTCTTGATAAATATCCTGACAGATGCATTAGAACAGCAGGTCCATCGTCAAACAGTGGCGTCCCCATGTATACAGTGCATAAATATTATAATAATATTATTCGAATAATATATTAACATAAAGGAGGTTTCGCACAGACTGACACATAAATATATTACTAACGTCAACCACAAAATTTTTTAGTAATTTATAGTCCTGGCCGGCTTTACAGAACCCATGTGACCCGTGAAAAGTTGTAAGGAACAACTGGTGGCAAAATATGTAAGGACTTAGTAGGACGCAAGAAAAAGTAATAGCAATTTAATTGCACTAAGTCCTAAGACATTCTATTAATTCTACACTAAGTGCATGCGAGACTTAACTATTAATATTGTGATTATTTTAACAATACCTATGTACAGGTTAGATTTTTTTTGATTTTTTTAACGCACGTCCTATACAAAGCATACTCTTATCAGTCAATGGGCTTTAGAGATGAAAATCACGGTAACACTTTTCTTCTTTCTTCAGAATTTACATCATCATTGTACAGGTGAATGTTTTTTTCAGGTATTGAAGGGTGTGTGTTTTGTTAACCTAGAACAACTTTAAGATTCACGCCAGTATATAGATAATTCCTCCTATAAAAAACAAACAAAACCGCCTTATTCTACGTCGCTGTTCTAACGTTAGGCTTAACGCCGTGATAATCACTGTATGGAACAATTCTTCTCCCGTTGAATAATGGGACCTCTGGTGGCGCTTTCAACTATCTCATCGTCTTCAATCCTGCAAAAGCAAAATATAAAAGTTTTAAAGTGTAAAACTTACATATATCAGAGGAACGTATGGATACCAAAGTAGAACAGTGCAAGTCGTTCCTCTACCGACATAACAATACACGTCATTATTCAACCATCACAGTAATGTGTGTCAGTGTTTTACATCAAAAGTATTCTACTAAAGTAAGTAGTGTGCGTCAGTATTTTATTAACAAAGTTATTTGTACTACTTTAATACCAACAATATGCATCTTGGCATTGCACTATTTTATGTTAGCACTCTCGCAATAAAATAGTGCTAATTATAATCTTAACAAATTTTATCCAAACTGGATGATTTATACAAAAAAATAAAAAGGTGAATTAATGTTTATCAGTTTAAAAAAAAAAGTGATAGGTTAGAATATCGGACCACATATTCACAATTTTGGATGTCATTATTCTTACAAGAAAGTAGTGCATGTTATAGCTTTCCACTTCCCCGGGTAATTTATGACAGTGTTTTGCATGCTAGTATTCTATCACCACAGAAAAGCAGTGCATGTAAGTATTCTAGAACCGAAGTAAAGTAATGCGTGTCAGTATTCCAGAGCCAAAGTAAAGTATTGCGTCTTAATATTCTAGAGTCAAAATAAAATATTGCGTGCCAATATTCCACAGCCCAAGTGAAGTGGTCAGTGTCAGTATTCTAGAACAGAAGTACAGTAGTGCGTGCCTGTATTCTGGAGCTAAAGTACTTTAGTACGTGTCATTACTGTAAAACCAAAATAATGTTCTGCAGCTAAAGTAAGGTAGTGCGGATCAGTATTCTAGAGTCAAAGTAAAGTAGTGCGGGTCAGTATTCTAAAGCCAAAGTAAAGTAGTGCGGGTCAGTATTCTAAAGCCAAAGTAAAGTAGTGCGGGTCAGTATTATAAAGCCAAAGTAAAGTACTGCGTGTCAATATTATAAAGCCAAAGTAAAGTATTGTGGGTCAGCATTCCAGAGCCAAAGTAAAGTAGTGCGGGTCAGCATTCTAGCACAGAAGTACAGTAGTCAATGTATTCGTAGGGAAACGAAGTTTCACAATAAAAAGGATAACAATCCTTAAAAATAAACAACATTATTTATAACAGAAGGGGGACACAAATAAATGTTTCGGCATTCCACATCAAACAACTTTCACCAACGCAGAATAACATGCAGTCTTTTTTTAAATTGCACATTTTCTAATATGTGCAGGAGTTTTATTTGTTACTCCTTCACTTTTCGTGTGTTATAATTTTGATTAAATTATCGTTTTTGAAGCAATGTGTTTTAGTTACTTGTTTAGGATTCATGTAATTCTTTTATTTTGCTTTAGATACTGAAGATGGAATATGTAGAATTCCGAAACGTTTATCTGTATCCCCTTCCGTTATAAACAATGTTGTTTATTATAAGTATCATTATCCTTTTTATTTGGAAGTAAAGCAAATCGTGTCAGTATTTCAGAACAGAAGTAAAGTAGAGCGTGCCAGTATTCTAGAGCCTAAGTAAGGTAGTTTATGCCAGTATTCTAGAGCCTAAGTAAAGTAGTCCGTTTTAGTATTCTAGAACCAAAATAAAGGAGTTCGAGTCAGAATACTAAAACCACACCATGTGTCAATTTTTAAGACAGCTTCACAAATACAGATTTGTGACAAGGAAGAAAGCGGCAAAACGTATCTGCTTTGTGACACATTAGTATGACACAACTTGCTTTAGTAACATATTTAAGGAACTTGTGAGATCTAAAAATTTATTTAATAATTTGCAAACTTTTTACTGGTCGCTAGCAATATTCATATGATATTCGTGTTCTTGAAAGGCACTTTATTTTGTAAGTAATTATAAGTAAAAAAAATGCTGTCACCAAACAATAAAAGACAGGATACTATTAGCATTAGTTGTAAGACATTTCATATTTTGTTTAATTGCGTATCAAGTTGTCTGTTTGGCATACACATTTCGCGTTTTAAAAAATGGAATACTCTTTTAACACTTTTTGATGCAAAACATACGTGAATCAAGATGTTTTAATGATGTTCTGTGTGTGAATCAAGATGTTTTAATGATGTTCTGTGTATGAAACACTTAATATCTTAACTGGCCTGGACTTGTGGTTAGGACACTTGACTCAAAACCTGCAAGTTGCAGGTTCGAAGCCCATCGCCGAACATGCCCACCCTTTCAGCCGAGGGGGCGTTATAGTGTGACTGTCAATCTCACTATTCCTTGGAAAAGAGTAACCCAAGAATTGGCGGTGAGTGGTCAACTAACTGCCTTCTCTCTAGTATATATATCGATATATCACTGCTGGTTTGTTTGAAGTTAAGCACAAAGCAATACAATAGGCTATTTGTGCTTTGCTCATCACGGGTAACGTTGAAAGTCCTCAGGCATACGGCTGTGCCACTGGGAGGCAGCTCAGCGCGAAAGTCAATATTTTAACAATGAATCACCTGTAGCACCTACCATCTGAAACACATATTTCATACTTTTTATATTGGATATTGTTAGAAGATAATTTACGCTTTACTATGTGTAGAACCTACGTGTATGGCAAGTTTTACTATGTGTATAGCCTACGTGTATGGCAAGTTTTACTATGTGTATAGCCTACGTGTATGGCTATCTAGGTTGAGATGGCTTCTTTACTTTCAGTAAAATCCCAGCGTAACTTTTAACAAACATTGCTTATAAAATATTTTTTATAAATAATAATGAAAAAAGGGGGGGGGGAGCATAGGAAGCTTTAAGGCATCTCCACAACAGTTTATCTTTTATTAAGGCGTTCATCGGTGGGTCGGGGGTAAACGTACATGGACTTGCAACGCTAAAATCCGGGGTTCGATTACCCGCGGTGGATAAAAAGCAGATAGCCCATATGTGGTTTTGAAATATGACAACAACAACAATAATCTTTATTAAAACATAACAGAGCATGTAAATGACCTGTCCGTCACATAAGCAGAAAGTCAACATGTACACTGATTGGCTCGCTTCTATGTGTACCACGTGACAGCACCTGTCAAATCAAGCTTTTCAATTATATGTAACTCATTCTTTTCACTTGTCAAAAATGCCACCTACGTAAATACATCGCTAAAAAAACTACCCCTTACACCTAACTTCGTCAAACTAAAAGAAGAAAAAACTTTCAATATTTAAAAACCTTCAAAGATACACGTCGTAACTTCGCTCATACCACGTGAACAAGATTGAAGACCGCGAGGACTGGGAAAACCCTATCTTCATTTAACTTGTCAGAACAATAACGGACGGGCGTGACTGATGGGGGCGCCACTGGCAAACCCCTCATCAAGACAGTTTGTTAAGTGGCAATTAGGGGCAAGAAGGTTGCTAGGTCGCAGGTTTAGTCATTTATCAACAACAAGAGAAAGGTGGATCGAGAAACTAATAAACTATATATGGGAAGTTCGCACGTGTCGAGAGCCAACGCCATGATGAGAATCTCGTCTAAATATAATATTTTTATAAAAGCTCGTGCTGCTAAATGTTTGCAGTGAAAAACCATCTACAGCAACTGCACAGGGTTTGAGAGAATTATAGTTTTCCCATAAAGTTTACACGCATTTATATTCGAATACTCTTACTGAAAACTATGGTATGGAAATAAAAACACTATGTACTACGAATGTTCTACTAGGTTTAGGCACTGTACACTACAAGATGTTCTGCTAGGTTCAAGATTTCTTCACTTTAAGTTGTGCTTCAACATTGTCCACTACATGATATTTTGTTAGGTTTTTGTTTTGTTTATGCATATGTTTTTATAGCAAAGCCAAATTGGGCTATCTGCTGTGTCCACCGAGGGGAATCGAAACTCTGATTTTAGCGTTGTAAATCCGTAGACTTATCGCTGTCCCACCGGGGGACCGCTTAGGTTTTAAACATTGTCCACTAAATGATATTCCGCTAGGTTTCTAAACATTGTCCACTATGTGATATTCCGCTAGGTTTTGTCCTCCTGATTTGTCTTCGGATTTACAATGCTAAAATCAAGGGTTCAGATAGCCCGATGTGGCTTTGCTATGAGAAAACACACGTAACCGGCTAGATTTTTAAACATTGTCCACTATAGGCTGTTCTGTTGGATTTTTAAACATGGTCCACTAAATGCTGTTCTGTCGGATTTTTAAACATTAAATACCGTACACAAGTTGATGCGTTAGGAAGCTATTCCACTATATGCAATAACAGTAATTCCTCTTGTTTCAAAAGTTGGCCATAAATCATCCTGGTATATTGTTTTGTTTGTTTGTTTGTGAATTTCGCGCAAAGCTACACGAGGGCTATCTGCGCTAGCAGTCTCTAATTTAGTAGTGTAAGACCAGGGGGAAGGTAGCTAGTCATCACCACCCACCGCCAACTCTTGGGCTACTCTTTTACCAATGAATAGTGGGATTGACCGCTACAGTATAACGCCCCAACGGCTGAAAGGGCGAGCATGTTTGGTGTAACGTGGATTCGAACCTGTGACCCGCAGATTGCTAGTCGAGCACCCTAACCATCGGGCTATGCCGGGCTCGTGGTATACATAAACGACGTCTTTAGTTATGGGCTGGTAAAACATTTTTAGGTCGATTCATACACAAGAAATCCATAATTCAACCTGAAATTACAATGTTTTACCAGCTCACACGTGAAATCTGTAATTCAACCTGAAATTACAATGTTTTACCAGCTCACACGTGAAATCTGTAATTCAACCTGAAATTACAATGTTTTACCAGCTCACACGTGAAATCTGTAATTCAACCTGAAATTACAATGTTTTACCAGCTCACACGTGAAATCTGTAATTCAACCTGAAATTACAATGTTTTACC